GAAAGGGACTGGTGAAACCGGAAACTAGATCGTTGACTCTGGGGCGACATCGCACATGAGCACCGAGAGGAAATCCTTCCTTGAGCTGGACGAAGCAGTAAAGGAAAACGTCACGTTAGCCGACGGAACGATGACAGCTGCTAAGGGCAAAGCAACGTGCGAAGTGGACTGCTGCGATCTGGAAGGTAACAAACGAACAATTACGCTTTCAGATACCCTGTTTGTACCGAATATAGAGACGAATCTGATCTCGGTGTGCAAGCTGGTAGCGAAAGGCGGAAAGGTGATTTTCGACACCGAAAACTGCAGAATCATGAAAGGAGCGCAAGTTGCAGCAGTGGCAACTGTGTCCAGTGGTTTGTACGTCATAAAAAACGCCCACAACGCTTTGAAGACCGAAGTGAAATCGCACACGCAGAACTGCCAACACGTGTGGCACGGAAGATGGGTCACCAAGATAACGATGCTGTCTAGGAGCTGGTGAAAAAGGAGCTAGTAACCGGAATGAAAATCGAAGACTGTGGTATAAGGTCTGTTTGCGAGTGCTGCCGAAAAGGAAAATTGGCGAGACTTCCGTTTCCGAAAAAGTCCAAGAAACGATCGAAAGAGCCCTTGGACCTCATCCACGTGGACGTGTGTGGTCCGATGAAGAATGTCACACCAGGAGGATTTCGGTACTATCTCACCGTCACAGACGTTTATTCTCGCTACACAAATGTGTTTTTCCTGCACAGCAAAAAAAATGTAATATCGATCAACGTAATTCAAGCTGATGTATGAAATAATGATGTAATAGCAAAAAGCAGATACAATATTACATCAATAGATGTAATTTTGTTTGCAAAGTCGATGTACATCGTACGACGTAATATTACACAACCGGTGGAATGACCTCTGTGCAGCAGTTTGGATGTAATATTCAACAACTTTTTTTTTCTGTGTGCGGGAGAAATCGGATGCTGAGGAGAAGCTGAGAGATTTGGTGATGGAAGTGAAGACGACGTTTGACCAACCACCGAAGATTGTGCGTACCGACAATGGTGGTGAGTTCAAGAACAGGTTACTGGAGAGTTTTTTTTTCAAGAAAAAAGGAATCAGGCAGCAGTTCACTACTCCACACACCCCACAACAGAACGGGACAGCAGAACGCAAGAACCGCTCTTTGAACGAAATGGCGCAGTGGAAGCAGTTTCCACTGGAAATCCTTTGTATGAGTGCTCATAGCAAGACAGCCTATATAACGTGATATAGGCTGTAATGTGAACGGGGTATAATCATAGAGGTAACTCTAAGACCACTAGGTCCCGAAGAAAATCATTATTATTTTTGGCTCACTCAGTACCAGAACAACGGTCCCAAGCAGTCCCAAGCTATTTCACTCACCCCTGCATGTTCTGCATGAATCCACACACCCCTGATGTTATCTGTCAAACTTTCATAGCGAATCAAAACAAACATAGTGTAGTAATAGAATTTCAACTAGAATGGGGTACGCCATAGAAGTACTTGGGACCAATAGGCTACTAAAGTGGTGAGCCAATTTAAAATCGTTAGTTTCGTATTGATTGTTGGTATAATCAACAATCAATACGAAACTAACGATTTTAAAGTGGCTCACTACTTGACTAGCCTATTGGTCCCAAGCAAATGATTAACGTACCCCATTCTAGTCGAAATTCTAGTACTACGCAATGTTTGTTTTGATTCGCTATGAAAGTTTGACAGATAAAATGAGGGGTTATTGGTTTTTTCTATATTTCGAGGGGTTAATCGATTAGCTTGGGACCGAAGAGAGTACCAGCAACAATCAATACGAAACTAGCGATTTTAAATTGGCTCACTTCTTGACTAGCCTATTGGTCCCAAGCAAACGATTAACGTATCCCATTCTAGTCGAAATTCTAGTACTACGAAATGTTTGTTTTGATTCGCTATGAAAGTTTGACAGATAAAATTAGGGGTTATTGGATTTTCCTATGTTTCGAGGGGTGATTCGACTAGCTTGGGACCGAAGATAGTACCAGAGGTGAGCCAAAAAGATGAGCACGTTTCTTCGGGACCTACTTGTCTTAGAGTTACCTCTATGGTACCAGAGCTGAGCCAAAAAGTTGAGCATGTTATTTCGGGACCTTCTAGTCTTATAGTACGTTCAGACTACAGAGTTATAACATGTTATAGCGCTATCTTGATGGTGGTTTCTGTGTTGCAATTAGTTGACAACCGTTATAACATGTTATAACTCTCCAGTCTGGACAGCGTTTTAGAGTTACCTCTATGGTATAATTCAAGCTGATGTATGAAATAATGATGTAATAGCAAAAAGCAGATACAATATTACATCAATGGATGTAATTTTGTTCGCAAAATTGATGTACATCGTACAACGTTATATTACACAACCGATGGATTGACCTGGTTGCAGCAGTTTGGATGTAATATTCAACAATTTTTTTTTCTGTATACACTAATAAAATTCGACACATTTTTATTGACGAATTTCCATGTGAAATACCACATGATTTTCACGTGACCACACATAAACAGAATCCACCCAGAAGCACACATGAAATTTATGAGTCAAATGAATAGTATGTGTGGTTACACATGGCTTTTATGTGTACACATTAAAATCATTTGTTGATCACATTATAAAAATTCATGTGTGGGACACATAAAAACAATCTTTGAAAGTTTATCAGTGTACCAATTCGATGAAGGTTCATGCGGATCAGAGACGTTAAGGCCGGCGCACAATAGATACGTTTTCAGGTTTTTTTGACAGTTAGCCCATGCATTATCTGTCAAAAAACCTGAAAACGTATCTATTGTGCGCCGGCTTTTAAATAGAGACACGCATAGACTGAAGCAAGAAAAACCAAACGAACCGTCAAACGCTAAACCAAACGAGCAAAGTAAATAAACATTGCTGTTCGCTCAATTCACCAGAAAGGAGTATTGTTCTTAATGATGATAAAGGTGTTTAATAATTTTCACGAAATATTTGATATCTGTTATTTCAAGCGTAACTATTCAAATCGACGTGTCTGCTTTTGAAAATAATCACTTCAATAAACGATGTGTCTTAACTGCTAACTCACCCAAGCAAACAAACACCATCTTTTCCCTACTAGCTGATGTTGTTAGTTTCTGTGAGTGAGCTAGCAGTTGCCTCAAATCGTCGATTGAAGTGATTGTTTACAAAATCATATACGATGATTTGAATAGTTACGCTTGATTTATTTATTTATTGTTGGTTCAATCAAATACAACATTAAATAGTGATAAAAAAAAATCGAATCGGAACGTTTTATTTAGTTTTGTGGTAATATAAATGATTGCGCTGCAAGCAAAACAGTAAAATATCAGTGCTAACATTTGAAAACGGCACAAAAGCCATTTGTAAACAAATGGTTTGTGGGCCCTTTACTCACTACTTGAAGTACACCCACGCGATACAACAGCAACATCGGGTAGGGGAAATTTTCCCCTTCCTGACGATGCTGTTGGTTTGCGTGGGCGTTCTTCGGGTAGAGAGTAAAGGGCCCACAAACCATTTGTTTACAAATGGCTTTTGCGCCGTTTTCAAATGTTAGCACTGATATGACAAAAAATATACTGTCATGGAACGACTGTCATCTCTCGCCTTCGCTTTATGCAAAATGTTGCCGCGCACTTCATTTTTCTTCAGTTCCGGTCGAACGTTGAAATTTTCTCAACAGCATTGCGGCACTGTATGAAAGTCATTTGAAGCCACTCGAAGAAACATGGTTGCCAGTGACATTGTCAAAAGATCCCTCAAATACCGTGCTATTACAAAACGGATATAGATTAAATTTTATGCATTTTATGGTTTTTAAAAATGTATACATTGGTTCGATTAAAATTTTCGTCAAAATTATACTAAGTCCGAATAACGAAGTGGAATTCGATCAGTGTTTACTAAAATGACAGGAAAAAGACCATCTGGATTCCCTTCGGAGCTTCGTGCTGGTGAAGAGCTTTGTCCCGGCGGATTTCTACTGCGACTGTGATCTGCTGGGCAGCATCGGAATTGTAAATATTTTTTTGAATAATATTCATAAAAAAATAAACTAATTAAAAAAGCTTCCTGAGACAATTTTTATTTTTATTTGAAAACAATAATATTTTCCATAAATAAAATAAAGAAGCGAAAAGTACGTTCTCTCGAATAAACCGTATCTATGCATTGAAAGTATATTTCGATTTTATACTATGGCACTTATAAACCATTTTTATACTAAGTTTGCATTATCTCCCTTTATACCGACCTTTGCGTCGGTACGGAGAGTTGCGATTTAGCGTAAAACGCTGGCCAGACTGAGCAGTTATAACATGTTATAACGGTTGTCAAATAATTGCAACACAGAAACCACCATCAAGATAGCGCTATAACATGTTATAACTCTGTAGTCTGAACGTACTATAACTTTTATACTTTTTAGATTTCAATATTTTTTGAGTGTATCAACGTCTCTGAAGGCCCAACCCTAATAAAAAATAACCATAAACGAACGATAACCCAAATCATTGAACTATTTCACAAATGGTTTGGATGATACCCAGAACACGTCGCTAAGCAAATTAACCATACAATTTTTATTAGGGAAGCGCAATGACAGCGGAAGCGGAACGGCAACGGCAGCGGAAGAGCCCGATCTGAGTAAGCCAACTTGTCGGATTGAAAACTTGTTGCAACCAAATCGACTTCGGTTAGGCAACTTGATGTCATTTGTCACTAATGTCAAACTTTCCGTTTCCGTTCCGCTTCCGTCCACATTGCGTTTGGGCCTTGATGCGCGCGGATCAGTTTTCATTCAATGATAGGAGAATGTTTTGTTCAGTGTAGTGTAGCCCCGTTTGGTCAGTGAGGTGAAGTCTTCGTCGACTTTTTTGCCGGTACATTATTATTTTTTTCATTCTTGGCGGCAGCACTTCCATTCGCAAACGTCAAAACATTTGAAAAATTATCCTGCCGAAACGAAAACATTCGTGTGCTAGTTTGTTTTGCATTCCGTGAATTTTCCACGTTTTCCATTGTTTTCTTAGTGTAATTTTGGTTATTAATTAGTTTAGAACAATACCTAGTGCATAAGTGTATCAGAATGACAAAACCACCGTCCAAAATGAAGACCAAACTGATTCGCGTTACGAACCTGTGCGACGTTACCGTGAAGCAGTTTTACGCTTACGTTCGCAACCTGCACCGTCACATTCGAATACAGAATGCAAAAATTCGCCGGCTCCGGCGGAAAATTGTTGATTTGGTAGGATATTCAAGTCTTAAAATTGCTGTCTTGGTGATTTAATATAATGGGGTTGATTTTAGAGAAAACGTCGTCGGCAGAAGCCGAATGTTAAGGAAGTGGAAGAACTGGAGGAAGACGATGGTGAGGATTTCATGAAGGCCCTGGAGCGAGCGGAAGCGCAACAAGCTCAGGCCGCTAGTGAGCCACTGAATGTTAAGGCTTTCGTGGACGACATTAAGAAAACTGCCCAAGAGTTTGACTATCAGAATCGGTACATTTACGAGCCGACCTCCGGACTGTACTACGATCCGGAAACGGGATACTATTACAACGCCGTAAGATCCGGTTGGTCTAACTGTGTGTGTGGTGTCAGTAGTAATCGAGGATTTTTTCTTTCAGATTTATGGACTGCATTACGATGGCCAACGGGGATGCTATTTGAAGTACAACGAGCAGACCCAAAAATACGATTTCTACTCGCAAGTGATTCCGGAAGAGTCACTTGAGAAGGAAAAACCGAAAACGTTCCAAAAGGTTCCTAGCAAATTGCTCACACATGTTCCTCAAGAAAGAACCCAATGATTGCAATGTTTCTCTCCCCAATCGATCTAGGTTTTTACACCTTCCACTCAGACCCATTCAATAAATTCCCTAGTTTCTGCCTTCTCTGGCCTGGAGATCGGACGAATGCGTTCGAACGCTCTAGGTAGGTTTCTATTTGGGACCGGCGCATGTTAAGAGGCGGTCCTTCCGCTGTTTTCCCTTTTCTCTTGTGTGCTTTTGCAGAAACGGAAGCAACAGCCGGAGGATGAACGGGAGGATCGGGAACGTCGTCGCGAACGGCGCAAAGTGAGTCGCAGCCGCAGTCGTAGTCGGGAAAAGGAACCGCGACGAAGACGTCGTCGTCGAAGCCGCTCCAGATCGTATCACTCCGTGTCGAGTCGGTCCTCGTCCAGTTGCACGGACGGAGACGACAAACGGAAGCGTAGGAAGAAACGCGAAAAGGAGAGGGCAAAGAAACAGAAGAAGAGGAAGGAGAAGCGAAGCAAGGTGGTGGCGGCGGCGAAAGTGGACTCGGAAGAGAATAAAGAGGAAGGGGAATTGGATAGCAGCAGTGGTGGAGATAGCAATCGGAGCGAGAGACGGGTCATCCTGATCGATTCCAGCGGTTCCGAGAGGGGGAATTCGGCAATCGAGGTTGATTTAGATAAATATGCCGACAAACATTCAGGTATCTTCGCAGGCTGTGTTGGATTTGGGTTGCTAGTAGTGTTCGGGTGATAGCGAACTATGACACTTGTTGGTAGCTTTCGTTCAGTATTAAGTGGCATTTTTGTTTTGCTCGTTTCTTGCAGATATTTCCCGGAAATATCCACCTTCGCTGAGGCTAATCGTGCAGGAGAGCAACGTGGCAACGGTGAAGCAAGGTTCCCTGTTCATCATCACGTGCAAGGGTGGTTCGCTGGGACGGGAAGGGGATCACGATGTCATCATTCCAGATATTAATGTTTCGAAGGTAAGATAGTCTCGTGGGATGGGCGATCAGATTTGAATAGACTGAATAGGGCAGTCAACATTGAGCAGGCGTACATATTTAGACATTTAGTATAATAATTGCACGTACAGAATTGTTCAAACATTTTAGAGAAGTTTTGAGAATTCCAGAAAAGAACAGAGAACCTCAGAGCAGTTCACATCAATGTTGAAGAAGTTTAGAGAACTCCAGAAAATTGCTAAACCTTTACAGGAGATGCATGATCGTTAGAAAAATTGAGTAAACTTTAGGAAGTCCTATTAAGTTCAGGGAAGTTTAAGAATTTTATGAGAAGTATTGTGAGCATCGGGCTAGTTTTTCAAACTACAAAAGCACTTCAAGGCAGTTTCATTAAATTCAGGAAAAAATTGGAAACTTTCAAGTAGTTCTGAAGACTTCATAATTGTTTATTCACTATTCAACGGAGATTTCCATTGAAATATTCCTCAAGATTTCGAACTCAGATCTCAATTTTCTTTTAACTTTCGTCCGAATTACCTCCCAAATTCTTCACAATAAGAAGCTCTTTGGAAAGATTATCAGAATATTAATTAAATTCATTTCCGATTTCCTTTTGAATCTCACTTCTTCCCTTGGAATTCTACTCACATTGAAAGTGTCTTAAGAAATCATTGGCATTTCTCCAAACAAATTCCTTTGATTTCTTCTCATAATTTGTTTGGCAAACTCTCCTGAATTTATTTTCCGAATTCCTTTGAGGATTATTCTCAGATTTAATTGTAATCTTATTAAGGGCTTATGCTCCGGATTCGTTTTCTCCCACAAACTTTATAAAATTATCCTCAGAATGCTCTTGGAATTTTCCTCTGAAGTTCACAGCAGATGTGCTCCACAGAAATTCCTAAGAATTTTCATTTAAATTAACTTTTAATTAAATCAGGATTTCTGGAAATTACTCAAAACTTCACATGAAATTTGTAATTTCTCAGAACTACTTTAAATGCAGATTGCATTTGATGTTTTTCTGAAAGATTTTTTTTCCGAAGAACTCCCTTGGAATGAAGTCCTTAGAAATTATAATAAAATTCCACGAGCCTTTAAAACAGTACATGGAATTTGACTCTTCCAGATTCTTGGACATTTCTTGAAGTATAATAGTCTTTTAGTCCAGAGCTAGTTCAAATTTAAAATTTCTAGGAAATATGCTATTCCAAAACTAAAAAAAAAAAACATTTCAATCCTCTGTTTTTTTTTTTTTATTTATTTGTTTCTGAAGATTAATCCACTGTGGATCTATAAAGTTCAAGTGTGAATGAAAATATCGGGAAAAATTAAATGCTTGTATTTTAAAATTCATTATTTTCTTTAAACTATCCTTAGTAAGGAAATTATTAAATTCTCTGAGACTTCCAGGTATTTTAAGGACAAAAAAAAATTCATGAGGATTCTCGGTTTTCCAGGTTTTTACAGTTAGTAGACACCCTCTGGCTAATACCGACTTTAGACATAAACTTTCTGTTGAATCTTTCGCTTTAAAGCTTCATATTGTACATAAGTATTTATGAGATACTAATTGAATACGTCTAAAACATTAAACATTTATTTGGTGTGCCGTCATAACGACTACTTTTTTTTTTCTTAGGTCACTTTTTAGTCTCTATTTTACAACTATAAGTTACTATTTGTTCACTTATTTCTTCAACATGGTCACTAAAATCACTATTTTTGACAGTAGTGATCGGTACCAGCCCTGCCACTTCCTTCCTTCCTTCGGGCACTCAGGCGCTCTTTGAAGGTTCTTATCATCACACAAGACACTGTTGTATTTGCAGTTCCAAGCTTTTCAGCGATCCATCGGTGGGACGCCTCTGGATTTTAATTGTAAGTGCACACAATTTTTTCAAGGACAATTTCGTGTACTGTATGAATAACAACGAAACTTGACAGATGTAAACAATAATACACTATGAATAAGATTTACTCATACGGTTCAAAAGTTACAGAAGATTTTCGGTGTGCCATTTTTATCAAATACACCATTTTCTACACTTTTCGTGTATTTTTTATTCACAGAAAATGATTAAAACTGTCTCACACATTGTTTTCTGAATAAATGAACAAACGTTTTAACAAAAATATTTAAAAAAATTGAGCTAAGCTTCTTGTTCTACGATTTTTGTCAATTTTTAAGTGTCCATAATTTTGAGCCTTCCAAAAGTTTATATTCTTCATGAGCTTTGAAAAAAATAAATAAGTCGAACAAGGACATTTTAAGATATATAGGATTTTAACATATTGTTTTGAATTTTTACTTAAAATTACTAAAAACATTTTTTTGTTTATTTTTCTCTACAACTTTGTTATTTCTATGAGCAGTGTCTTTTCTGGGCTACATTTTTTTTTTAATTTCAAAGGCACCGTTTTGAAAATTTTGCAAGACCCAGAATGGCTGAATTTTATCATAAATGTGAATCATTCCATAACAAGCAATTATGCAAAGTTTCATGCAAATCGGAGAAAGTCGAGCTTTTCCAATTCGTCATTAAATTTTGGTGAGGAATTGCTCATGCTTTAAAACGAAAGAAATGCAGGGTGTCCATCCAACCGGGAGAACCGGGAAATCCGGGAAAAAACCGGGAATTCGGATTTACCGGGAAAAAAAAACCAGAAAAATGCAGGAAAACCCAAATTGCACCGGGAAAGATCATATATACTCATCCCAAGTAATAATTTTGATTTTATATTAGTCTTGTAGGCCATAATTTGGTCTTGAAGAATCCTTTAAACATTTAAACTTGTAATGTTACTTGGAATCAATCTACTTTATAGCACATACATCATTATATTCTCTTGCTTACAACTTTCATATCTAATCTAATCTAATCTAATCTAATCTAATCTAATCTAATCTAATCTAATCTAATCTAACCTAATCTAATCTAATCTAACACCAACACAGCCAGCTCTTGAAAGCATCCTGAAAAATGATATATATACCTACATCATTTTTCTTGTCTATTTGATATATATTTCACATCAAAGATGCGTCACACATATCAAAATGGCCAGGCCTACTGTGCAGCATTTAAGGGGCAAGATGATTCAGAAAACAACGATGCTTCAGAATCCAATAAATGGATGAAACGTGGACATCTCGTACCATACGTTCCGATTTTGGTAATTATATGAATGGTTGGTCGTTGGAAGCATCAAAGCTAGAACGGTTAAGTGATGCTACATTTTCTTCTAACGGTTGGGACATGAGCACTAACTCTTGTCCTAGCCTTTTATGACTTATGGCTATAGCGCCATTACTCGCTTTCTGAAAAGAGAAGAGGGAAAGGAAAAGGAGAAGGACAAAGGGAAAAGGATTATGTGGAATCTATGAACATAAACAATATTTTTGATTTGAAATATACAATATAGCTGTCAAACCCGAGAGCTTTCATGTTCTTGGTGCATTTCAGCGCTGAGCAAATCTGTTGTACTGTAATCATATCCGCCGGAGGCACAGCACAAGGGGAGGCATCTAGGTTTTGAACGCATAGCGCAACCTGATCTTCGAGCGGACTTTGGATAGTCGAGCCAAGCAAATGCGATGAAGCGACATGCTCGCCGATCGCATTTGCTTTCTCCTGTGGGGTTATTAAAAGTCGATCGTCATCATTTTCGACTCTGAGAGGTGGAACGGGTTTGGGATGAGTTTTCAGGACCTTGGCTACCTTCCAGAATGGTCTGGAGCGGTCGTCCAGATTCTGGACAACACGCCAGAAACTTTCATTTCGGAGTGAGTCCATTCTGGAAGCAATCTGCCTGTTCAGATCGGCCATTTCACGTTTTTTGCCCAGGTCTCCAGTCCTCTGAAACTGGCGTCTACGCACATTTCTCAATCGAATCAATAATTGGGTGTGGGAATCAATAGCAACAAACTTACCCCTCACAGGAACTCGTCGAACGCATGTCTCGTCAGCCTCGGATATGGCCTGTTGGAGTCCTTCCAGCGCCCGGTCGATGTCATCTACGGTGTCGAGCAGTGGATTTTCATCGATGTTGCTGTCCACCATTCGTCCGTACTGTACCCAGTTGACATGGTGTTCAGTTCAGTCACCACCGGTTGGTGGTCGGAGCTGAGATCGTTGTGCGCCTCCGGCTTGGATAGTCCGATGTTTGACAGGAAGAAGTCCAGGGTGGAGGGATTTCCCGTCGGAGAGATGAAAGTTGGTTCGTCCGGAAATTGCACAGTGTACAGTCCATGTTGTGCGTGGTCGAACAATAGACATCCGTTCCGGTTCCGCTGGTAGTTCCGCCAAGCTTCATGGCGGGCGTTCAGGTCGCCCCCAACGATGAATCGGGAGCTAGTACGGGTGATGGCGGTCAGGTCCTTCTTGAATTGGATTCCTAATCCGTTGCTTGCGGTACACTGGCGTGGGCAGTAAACAGCGATGAACCGGACGTTTCCAGTTGGTGATTCCACCTCCACACTAATGGCCTCGATGATAGAAGTGCGGATGTGGGGCAGAGTGCAAAACTTGATTCCCTTTCTGACTATGACCGCTACACCACCCCCCCTGGAGCTGGTGCGATCAAGCCGGATAATGTTGTGGTCAGGCAACCAGAAGCTGTCACCGAACTTTAGGTGGGTTTCGGTTAGAAGACCCACGTCGATGCTATGCTTGCGGAGGAAGTCGGCAAGCTCAATCTGTTTAGCTCTTACAGAGCAAGCGTTCCAGGTAGCGATGGTTAGCGGTTTAGACACCATATTGGATGATGAACTTACCGAGCACTTGGATCTGTTCGGGCTTATTGCGGCACTTACGTAGAGCACCGGACATGTTGACGAAAATTTCCATCAGAGAGCTTTGGCCAGCAGAAGATCCAGACGTTTCTTGAGGGGGCGCGGATCGCACCCTGGGATTTGCTTGTCCATGAAGAGACGGAAAGTCCTCCGTCCTGAAAGCCGGGGCCTTATCCTTCCTTCCTGCTGGTTGATTGTTGGTGGACGCTTGATTTCGGATGCGCTT